TTTTTTATGGCTCTCTGCCTAGTCGCGTAGGCTATGTCGACCGCAGTGGGCGATTTGGTGATTAAGGGCCTTAGCCAATTTTTTTACTTTTCGAGGCTCTCTGCCTAACCGCGCAGGCTATGTCGACCGCAGGGGGTGATTTGGTGGTTAAGGGCCTTAGCCAATTTTTTGACTTTTCAAGGCTCTCCACCTAGCCGCGTATGCTACGTCGACCGCAGGGGGTGATTTGGTGGTTAAGGGCCGTAGCCAATTTTTTGACTTTCCAAGGCTCTTCACCTAGCCGCGTAGGTTATGTCGATCGCAGGGGGTGATTTAGTGGTTAAGGACCTTAGCCAATTTTTTGACTTTTCAAGGCTTTCCGCCTAGTCGCGTAGGCTACGTCGACATCATGTCTTAGTGGGATGGGCGTGGATTTTAGAGTTGTCTGTTGGCATAAAAAAATTCCTAGTCTTGTGAGCTCAGTAGGGGCACCGGGACGTCCCAGCTAGGCTGGCCCTTCCGTAGCGCCCTCGTCATCCGTCACCGTCAAGGTCTTTCATTGAACAAGATAAATTGTTACAACTAAGGGTGCCTTTGTGAGGCATTACATAGAGAAAATAAACAATGCAGCCTAATCTACTATATTTACAAAAGCGCAGCCGGCGCGTACATTTTGAATTCTACTGGTAATACTTTTTGAGGTGTTCTGCATTCCATGGTCTACCTAGCGGCCTTCCTTTTATATCTTTCAAGCTGTAAGCTCCCTTTCCCAGCTTGCGAATTACTTCGTACGGTTCTTCCCAGTTTGGACCAAGCTTTGGTGGGGGGTGTCCTGCCGCTGCTGCATCTCTTAGCACGAGATCTTCTGGCTGGAAGACCCTAGGCTTCACCCTCCGATTGAAGTACTTAGCGGCTCTTCGTTTATAAGCCATCATTCTTATCGCCGCCTTGTCCCTTACCCCTTCGAGGAGGTCGAGTTCTCCCCTAGTTGCTGCGTCGTCGGGTTGCTTGACTTTCATCCTTCATGTCTCGCTTAAGATCTCAACCGAAACCACGACTTCCATCCCAAAGGCCAGTTTGAATGGCGTCTCCCCGGTCGATTCTCGGGGGGTAGTGTGATATGCCCATACTATATTGGGCAACTCCTCAGCCCAAAGTCCTTTTTCTTTTTCCAACCTTGTCTTCAAATCCCACAGTATGGTTCGGTTGGTCACTTCAGCCTGTCCACTTGCCTGCGGGTGAGCAACTGAAGTCAGCCTGTGGTCGATGTGGTAGCTTGTGCAGAAGGCTCTAAAACTGTGATTATCGAATTGTTTTCCATTATCTGTAATGATTACCCGAGGTATACCAAACCTGCATATGATATTTTTCCATACGAAGCCCTGTATCTTTGCAGTCGTGATGGTGGCCAAGGGCTCAGCTTCCACCCACTTAGTAAAGTAGTCGACGGCAACTAACAAAAACTTCCTTTGTCCTTTTGACAGGGTCAAAGGTCCCAAAATGTCCATCCCCCATTGGAAGAAGGGACACAGCCCGAAATCTGTCGTCTGTTGCTCGGCTGGAATGTGGATCAGATTTCCATGGCGTTGGCATGTATCGCATTTTCTCACCAACTCTCTAGCATCTTCCTTCATACTAGGCCAATAATATCCTTGTCGAAGCGTTTTGAACGCAAGGGTAGTCGCCCCTTGGTGGTTGCCACAAATTCCCGCATGTACTTCGACTAGCACCTCCTGTGCTTCTGTCGGTCGCAAACACTTCAAATATGGCATTGTGAAGCCTCGCTTGTAGAGTAGCCCATCGATGATGGCAAATGAGGCTGCCCGAACTTTTAGCCTTCTGGCTGTGAGAGCATCCTCCGGCAATTTATTCTTTGTGAAATACTCAAACAGCGGGTCTATCCAACTTTCCTCATTCTCTACATTCATAACATCGATTACGTGTTGGATGCTAGGTTCTCGCAGAATTTGCACACTGGCTGTGCGAGGCAGTCGTCTGGGGTTGGCTGATGCGAGCTTAGCCAGCGCGTCCGCTCGTTCATTGTCCTTTCGAGGGACCTTAGTTATCTTAAACTTAGTGAACCCCTTCTGCAAGTTTTTGACCTCCATTAAATATGCAGCCATCTTTCCGTCCTTTGCTTCGAATTCTCCCGTTACTTGCCCGATTATCAACTGAGAGTCGCTGCAAATTTCCACTGAGGTTACCCCGAGTCTGGCTGCCAATCCCAAACCCGTGATTACTGCTTCGTACTCGGCCTCGTTATTTGTAGCAGGGAATTCAAAATGTAGTGAGTATTCCAACTCGTCCTCATTCGGACCTATCATTATGATCCCCGCCCCGAATCCTTCGTCATTTGAAGATCCGTCAACAAAAATTTTCCAATCTGCCTGCTCCCCTGGTGGGTGCTCGGGCGGGGTGGTGAGCTCAACGATGAAGTCTGCTAAAGCCTGTGCCTTAATAACTGTCCTTGGCTTGAATTCGATATCAAACTCACTTAACTCAATGGCCCATTTCAACAACCTCCCAGAGGTCTCGGGTCGATGTAGAATCTGCTTGATATGTTGGTCAGTCATTACTTGCACCGTGTGAGACTGAAAGTAAGGCCTCAATTTCCTGACAGCAACAATTAATGCAAACACCAGCTGTTCAGTCAGGCTGTATCTTATTTCTGCACCCCTCAATAATTGGCTCACATAGTAGACTGGTTTTTGCGCTTTCCAGAACTCTTTCACCAGGATCGCGCTGACTGCCTTTGGTGATACTGCCAAGTAGAGACACAACACGCCCCCAGGAGATGGGCTGGTCAAGATCGGGGGCTCTTGTAATGACTGCTTCAAGTTCCTAAGAGACTCTTCGCATTCCTGGGTCCACTCAAAATTGGAGGAGCCCCCTATAGCTTTGAAGAAGTGGTAGCATTTATCCGCCGCCCGGCTCATGAAATGATTTAAGGCCGCTACTCGCCCCATTAGCCTCTGAACCTCCTTCCTACTGGTGGGGCTTTTCATTTCCAGGATTCCCCGAATTTTGTCCAGGTTCACTTCAATGCCCCTTTGCGTGATCATGAAACCTAGAAATTTTCCCCCTGCGGTACCAAAAACACACTTATCTGGATTGAACCTTAATCTATTTTGTCGGGCAACGTCAAACACTTTCTGCAAACAGGCCACATGGTCATCGGCTCTGGCGCTCTTGACCACCATATCTTCAACATAGACTTCTACGACACCTCCAATTAGCCCACGAAAGACTTTGTTCACCATCCTCTGATACGTTGCTCCTGCATTTTTCAAGCCAAATGGCATGGCTGTGTAACAGTACGTGCCTAAGTCCGTGATAAATGACGTCTTCTCTTGATCGGCCTCGGCCATTGAAATTTGATGATACCCCGAAAATGCATCTAGAAAGCTGAGCCTTTCATGACCCGACGTTGCGTCTACCAGTTGATCTATTCTGGGAAGTGGGTATGAGTCTTTTGGACATACCTTGTTCAACCCAGTATAGTCTACACACATTCGCCATTTTCCGTTTGACTTCTTCACAAGTACAATATTTGCCAACCACTCGGGGTATTGCACCTCTCGGATAAAACCCGCCTGTAGCAATTTTTCCACCTCTGCTCTGGCCGCAACCTGCCTCTCAGGGGCAATGTTTCTCTTTTTCTGTTTCACTGGCTTAGCCCCGGGCTGGACACTGAGGCGGTGCTGTGCGACAGTTGGGCTAATCCCCGGGATATCCTTTGGGTTCCAAGCGAAGACATCCAAATTTCCGGCTAGACACTTCGCCAATTTTTCCTTCTCTTCGGATCCCAGACCTGTTCCAACAAGAAACTCCTTTCCTTTGGCAATAAAGATTTTTTCAATCATATCAAGTGGCTTGATCCGCTCTCTTAGGAGTTCTACATCCAACATCATGACTGATGGTGGGCTTTTGGCTTGTATACTATCCACATAGCACTTTCTTGATGTATGCTGGTCTCTTCGCACGCTCCCGATCCCCCTGCTGGTTGGGAACTTCATAAATTGATGGTATGTCGATGGGACCGCGCCAGTTGCATTTAGCAATGGCTGGCCATAGCGTTGTAAGCCATGGGGGTCTTGACAACCAAGAAATTAGTCACGATCACCACTGTCGCTGGGTATGTCCCAAGCGTGACTGAAAGCTCTACAGTCCCTTCCGGTATCACTGTTGCCCCTCCAAAGCCTTGTAGGGGGGTAGTCACCACCTTCAACCTTTCTTGGGGGATTTTTAGACCCAAGAAGGCATCCCAAGTGAGGACATTTGCCGCACTCCCTCCATCGACTAACACCCTCTTCACGTCAAAATCCGCAATATCGCCTACTATTACTAAGGCGTCATCATGGGGGTGTGTTACACCAATCAAGTCCTCTTCATCGAAAGTTATACTCTGGTTGAATCTTGCTTTTTTCTGACTAGAGCAGACCCCTACTGAACGCGCATAGCTCTTCCTAGCTGAATTTGAGTGGCCGCCCGATGCTACTCCTCCGATGATCATGTTTATCACTCCTGCTCTTGGTGGGGGTATACCTTCGACCCTTTGCCTGCCCTTATCGTTTTTCACATACTTTGCCAATAGCCCCCGTCTCAGCAGGTGCTCAATTTCTTCCTTTAACTGTAGGCATTCTTCGGTATCATGCCCGTGATCTCTATGAAAATGGCAGTATTTACTTTGATTTCTCTTGCCTGAAGGGGTTAGCATTGGTTTGGGCCATTCGAGCTCCTTCATGTGCTGTATCTCTATCAATAACTTTGTTCGTGGAATGTTCAAAGGGGTGGGTATCTTGATCTCCTCTCGTTTTTGCCTGACTGACCGGTCTTGGACATAACCCTTGCTCGTGCGTTCATTCTTCGGCTTATTTTTATCATTGTGCCTTTGCTCGTCATATGTTTTTTGCTTATTAGCTTCTGTCTCCCTTCCATCCCTGAGATTTTTAGGTACCTTCTCAGCTTCTTCCGCATCGACATACTTGTCTCCCTTCTTTAATAGGTCATGCATCGACTCCGGGGGGTTCTTGGAGAGTGACATCTTAAAGGCCCGGTTTCGCGTTCCATTCATCAAGGCTGCAACCACTGCGGACATTTGCAGGTCTCTAATGCTAAGAGTCGCCCGGCTGAATCTAGCTAAGTATTCCTGCAATGACTCGTCTTTGTCTTGTACGACCTGCATTAACCCAATGGTTGTCTTTCTCTTCCTCTTGCTGTTTAGGAAATAAGCCACAAAGCTCCTGGAGAGCTCATCAAATGACTTGATGGAGCGCGGGGCCAAGGTTGCTACCCAGTCCCTAGCCTCTCTCCTGAGCGTGGGGGAAGGATCGGCACATCACTGCGTCCGGGGCGGCATAAAGTCTCATCAGATCCACGAAGGTTTGTAGATGGTCAAGTGGGTCCGTGACTCCATCATAGGCTTCAATCATGGGCTGTTTGAAGCCTTTAGGCAAAGGGACCGCCATGATTTCTGGGGTGAACGGGTCTTCCTCCAAAACCATCTGTCTCCGCCTATCCTTTCTCTTGGACAACGCATCGTCTATCTTCTGGGACATGATTTCTTCCATCTTTCGTTCCAGGTCTACCATGGTCTGCGGGGGCTGTTGAGCTACGGTCATTGGGGCTCCCGCGTCTCCCGCTCCCCGCTGAGAGATGGGTGGGACAACCGCGGGTGGCGCTTGAGGCGATTGTTGATTCGTCACTTCCGTCGGGCTTAAATGAGGGATGGTGGTTTTCTGCGACTGGTCTTGTAAGAGCACCATCATTGCTGCCAACTGATTTTCCAAAGCGCTGAATTGACTCTGCGTCACATACTGCGGGGGCGATGGTGGTTCATGACCCCTTGCAACTGACTCCGACTCCGTCTCCGTCGTGTTCCCAACCAGGCGAGTATCACTTCTTGTTCGTCTTCTTGACATGGCTTTTTAGTTCAAATGAATTTTCCCACAGACGGCGCCAATGAAAGGGTGGTGATTCAACACCCTTCTGTTTGCCCGGTAATGTTTGGCGTTTCCACCACTCCGTCAAGTATGCAAGACCTGAAAAATGAAGGCGGGGCTTTTTCCCCCGTTTTACCTCCGGCGTGAGAATTAGTTTCTAGACTTGGAAAGAATATATTTGAAATTCAGATGGCTAAAACGAGAATGAGAGAAAGAAAAAAATCCCTTACTGTGTCACATCTGGGGGTATTTATAGATATTAGGCACTAGGTAACCGCTGGGCGGTTGTGGTGCTACGTGTCCCACGATGGTATTCCCACTACACCCACGTTCTGAGTGATGAATCCTTAACTTCCCGCCTGAAGATTGTACCTGTATCAGCGGCCATAGAACCTGGTCAATTCATTAAAGGTTTTATGGCTAAGTGTTTGGACAAGGAATATCATTCCTGTTGAGAATTTCGCTTAGTGGTAGAATAATTTCTAGGGATAGTGGTAGAGCGCCCTTTGGGGGTTGTAGTAGAGCGCCTCCCGGACGTAGTGGTAAAATGCCTTCAGGGGGTTGTGGTAGAGCGCTCCCTGGGTGTAGTGGTAGAACGCCCTATGGGGGTCGATGGCCTTGCATCGGTGCGCTGTGATCTGCCTTATTTGTCCTTGAGGGTGGCTACTTCTACCAACCTATATCAGAACTATTTATAAACAGCTCACCAACATGCTTTTAAGATTTCTCATCAACTTATTAGCTAGAATTTATATTAATTAGATTTTGAACGAATTTATGTACTTTTTATGTAAATCTTTCTTCTCTATGCGTGCAATATATTGTCCAATTAGTCTTCAATAAACATTCGTCTCTATCTTTGAATTTTCAATTGCCAAAACATATTAGAAGCTTGTAAGTTTCGTATGGTATTACTTAAGCATGCGCGGTGTATTTAAAACCATTTCAATACTTATAAGTTGGATTATCTTTTGTGTTCAGTTAAAATCTATAGATAGGAGGTATACCTTTGATGATTCCAACTAGTTGATAGGATTCTGAATCTAATTTGCCCAATTTCAGCACATCACAGTTGTCCAAATGTTCAGTTTCACAAAAATTCACACGACAAGAAAAAAATTGGAACCCCTACATCACGAAAGAGACCACGGCCTCCGATTGGATTTAAAGAGAATTATGTTTAGGCTCTTGCCTATTTCTCCGTGTTAGCAAGTAATGAAGACAAGTATGTAAAAGCCTAAACATATAGTATGTAATTATAGGTTTTTCAAATTTTTAATATCATTATGATTAGTAAAGTCACGAGTTAAGAATTAATCAAGTGTAAATTACATAGAATCATTTTTTTTTTTAAATTACCATTCTAAAAAGTCAGGTTTAAAGTTTGTTAATACAAAAATGGATGATAATTCAAAATTAATAATATCATAAAATTAAATTAATTTATATATCAACCCTACCTCTATTCACCCACCTCAATACCCCCATACCCTAAATTTGTACTCATCCTTCTCTCTCTCTCTCTCTCTAACGTGGTGCTCGCCCCTATTGCTCGTTGGCTACAAGCGTCTTGCAGTCGCTGTGCACGACGCGACACAAGTCAATGTTGTTGCATGTACTCTTGTCCTCAGACTATGGGGGGTAGTGTTGCTTCTTGTGTGAGACAAAGTGAGAGGGCCGCGCCGCTACAGGTGAGATTGTCGCTCATTCAGTCTAGTTGGTTCTTGTTGATTCAACCCCCTCAAAGGTGATAGCCTTGATCGCTCCTCGTTGATTTAGCCTCGCTGTAGGTGAGAGTCTCTCTTTAATAGCGGCACTCTCAACGACGACACTATGGGTGTGGAGGTCCACTATTTTCAACTTATTCAGCAATATGAATCCAATTGTTCTTTCATGAGGTTGTGGTGGTCTTGGCGGTGATTAATAATTTTAGAATTGATTTTTTGGTGGTGATTGGGTGTTGGTGGTTGTGATGTTGGATGCGATGGTGATATTGGTGGAGGTGTTTGAGACCAATTATTAGATTGACTATGACCAACAATTAATTTGTGATAAATAAATAATATGTGACCAATTATTTGAGATAGTGGCCAAATTATGTGATTGACAACTTGTGACCAGCAAATAATACTTGGCCTAAAAATTTGAGTCGTTTCTTATAAATTTTTTGATTTGTGACTGATAAATAAATTGTGACAATAATTTTTTGGATTTGTTACCAATGAATAAATTGTGCTTTATAAAATTTCTGATTTGTGATCGTAAAATAATTTGTGGCCTATAAAAAAATTTATTCGTGGTCGAGAAATAATTTGTAACCAATTAATTCGATAATTTGTGGCCATATAATATAGAATTATGACTTTTTAATATATTTAGCCAGTGTTTGATTCTCATTTTTCCTAAAATACATTTTTTATATTATTAAGCACGTATTTTTCATTAAAATAATATTATACCCAAGTCAAAAACTTTTCTTTCTTTTCTAATTTCACATTCTCAATCAATCTAATGTTCTAAAATACATTCTTGAAAAAGAATGTGGCTTAAACACACCTTAATGAGTAAACTATATATTTAATTAATAAAATATATTTTTACTTAATTATTTCATAAATAAAATTGAATTAATATCTGATTTTTGAAATTTTAAATTATGTTTTTTAATTTTGAAATGAACCATACTTAATCTTAAAATTTTCCATTAATTAATCTTGGTCAAATGACATATTCATTGTTAGTTTTTATTAAGTCCACCAACAATTAGGCCTTATGGCATAATACTTGTAATTTTTCACATGGACTAGGTCCAATATCAATTCCAAAATTTTTATGACTCATTAGATTTCCATTCACAATGACCAACATGGTAAGTTTTATTATTTGGATCTAATCAGAATACGATAATCAAAATCCTCCTTTTAATTTATCATTAATCCATTTACATAATTACAAGATATAATCCCTTAATCTAATACTACCCAATTGATTACGATATACAAATAAGCATCAATCTTGATGTAATCAATTATATTATTCATCAAAACCTATTCGTATATATATACGAGTTGCAGTTGAAACCCCTTTCAGCTTATTACTCCTCCTTAATTGATGAATTTATCTATTAACATTGACAGACGAAATTTAGGTCGTAATCTCTTAAATTAAGCCCTTATTTGTTGTATAAAAAATTAATTTTTTAAATAGATTTTTGATGTGATCCATGGATCAGTGCAACGAGGGTAAGTCCGGACACAGATCCGTTGATTGTTGAAGAAGGACCCATGACGAGATCGTGAGCAAAAAGAGTTATAGAAGCGATGCGCTTACTTGTTCAACCTACAATGGACGGAATATCGATCTTGACAAGTAAAGAAACAAGTTTCGTGTTGGGATTGGGAAAGGAAACAAGTTGGTTCAATGTGATTCAAGCAACAGATGAAAAGATGGAGCGAGGAAACTATGCAACCGCATAGATAGAAGCTATGCGATCGCATAGCCTGCTTCATAAAGACCGAGCAAGGTTTTAACTTGGTCTATTCGACCACACACAGAACCACTGTGCGGCGCATAGTGTGTTTCCGAGATGTGAATTTTCTAATTTTGCGAAATCTTTTATTTATAGTAGGACTCTAATTTTTGGTAATTTTTAATATTGTTAGACTTTAATTCCCTTTTTAACTAGGGTTTATGAGTTTCCTATAAAATAGAACTCGTTATTTACATTATAAAACATTAATTCAATCAATAAGAGATTATTTTGTGAGCAATTTTGCTTTCAATTTCTCGTTCTTCTTTGAACTATAATTATTTCTTCTGGCGTTTAAATAATCCATGTGAAGTTCTTGAATCCTGTGATCAAGGGATTAACATATTGTCTGTGATTGTGTTAGTTCTTTGGTTCATTATTTTTGGATCGAACTCTAAACTTTAATTTATTGACTTTCTTGGATCAATTCAATCTTTTTTGTGTTTTGGAACTACTATTGTTATACGGGTTCACATCATTTTTTATTAAAAAAAGGAAATATATAGTTGAAAAGTTGTGAGTCTCATGAAATCCTTGGTTAAAATAAGTGTTGACTTTAACTTATAATTTTTAGCAGATTTTAATCTACAAATGGGAGCTAAGGCATTGTTTGAGCCCCATTAATTTCTTAAAATGTATTATAAAATAATAAATTAAAGGGAAATGTATGGTTAAAAAAGAAGATTTTTTTTTTGATTTGTGTGTAATATTATTTTAATGAAAAATGTGTGGTTGAAAATGAGTATTGTAGAAAAAATAATAGGAAAGATTGAGAAAAAATGGTGCTCAAATAGGGGCTAAATATCTCAAAATAATAATTATAATAATAATCCTAAACCAATACTTACTACCCCGACTCTCTCTATCACCGACACACACTTAAACTCTTGTTTAATCCCCATTTTTGGAGAAAAATGTATTATGGAATGGTGATTTTTTGAAGAATGTTTGGTTAAAAGTAAGAAAATATTTTCGAAATACATTTATTATTATTTTTATGAAAAAATGTGTGGTTGAAAAGGAGAATTGAAAAATACATTCTTGAAAAATGGGGCTCAAACAAGGGCTAAAATTTCAAATCATCCAAAACTTCAAATCCCCAAACGCTGCCCTCTCCTAGTCGTTGTCGATTCTTACCACCATCACAATTTGAATCCCATCAATTTACCTTCTCCCACATTCTGCTAAAGAAAAAAAAGAGAGATAAAAATCAGAATTTTCGATTTCTCATCATCGGAGGTTGGTCGGATGAAGTTTGGGTGTTTATTTTCATTGTGGTGATATGCAATTTAGATAATTTACAGTCCGACAGTCAACTGTGGTGGTGCAAATTTAATAAATTATAGACTAAAAAATACACAACGTAACTCTTGACACATAAAAATTCAGCCCAAATCGGACAGCCCAAGGAGTGAAGCCCAATTGGAGGATCCCCAAATCAGATAACCCA